GTCCCTACCTCAAGCTCATGGCACCCAGGAGACCACAATGACACAATGCAATCTCTGGGAACTAAGTGGCAATTGCAAACTCTAACCCTAACTCTAACCTCTAATCCTAGCCCTTACCCTAACCGTAACCCCTTACTCAAACCTTCTGCCCTCCTCCATCACCACTGCCCTACCACCCTTGTCCTCACACTAGGAAGCACTGCAAGCTTTACTGCACTGCAAGCTGGAGGTCAAGGTCTAGGTTGTGCTCAAGCATGCTGGAAAACACCTTTCTGAGAAGAGATGTCTTCCCAAAATGCAATTTTGAATTCTTTCCCAAAGTTTGTTTTTACTGCCACCATCTTGGAAAGGACATCTTGACTTCACTGTAGTGAATTCTGGCCATTACTGCCATCTTGAGTGTGGTGTGATGCAATTTCTGGTAAATCTTCACCATCTTGAGAGTAGCACTGCAAGTTTGTTCTGGATCTGCCATCTTGACTGTTATAGCACATGACTTCCTGTCATGCTCACCATTTTGAGAGTGGACTGATGCCAATTCCTTGCTCCTCTACTACCTTGAGCACATTATCATCATAGAATCACAGAATCACTAGATTGGAAGAGACCTTTAAGATCATCTAATCCAACCCATGCTCTAACACCACCTCAACTAAACCATGGCACGGAGTGCCACATCCAATCTTTTTTTTTTAAACACATCCAGGGATGGTGATTCCACCAGTTCCCTGGGTAAATTAAATAGCACACCTGCGCAGTACCTCGTATTTACCACCAGGTAGCAGCAGCGATTTAAGGCCCAACCAAGGTCTCGGCCTTTGTCTTGCAGTGACACACAAAACCACTTTTTCTTTGAATACACAGAGCCATTTCTATGGCCTTCATAGAGATCATATTTTCAAGCTCTTTCTTATTTAAATTATTTATACAAAAAGTACATTTGTATTTTCAAACTCTATATATCTGTATTTGGAATTTCTTATACTCTTAAGATCCTGCATGTAAAACAGTAGATAAAGGGTTGTATTTGGAAATAATTTTTAATTAAAATTATATATATATATATATATATATATATATATGTTTAAAATATAAGAAAAATTACCAGTTTTAACTACTGTAACTACTACCCTAAGCACTACCCCCTACAACTACTTAACCCAGCAACTCAGTATCTCAGGAGCAGTTCAGAGGCAGCTCCCAGGACCCCAAAGCCAGCCAGAGTCATAACTCCTGGAAGCTTTCATCTTGTAACAATCCTCAGAATTCAGAATTTTAGGAGGCAGAATCCCACTTTTAGCCCCAGAATCCCACTTTTAGTCCCCACATTAGTGACTGCGAATGTTAGCTCTTTTCCATAGGAAGGAAAGCCTTGCAACTGACTGTCTCAGGGGCAGTTGAGACACAGCCCCCAGCAGTCCAAGGTCAGCTAGAGCCTGGCAGATTTCATCTGGAAGGAATCCTCTGATATTTGTAAATTTAGGAGGCAGAATCTAATTTTTGGATTACAGTGCCTGACCATGAATTGATAGCTCTTTTCCATATTAAGGAAAGCCTGGCAATCCAGTGTCTTGTGGGCACTTGTGCTCCAACCCAAACCACTCCATGACTCTATGATTGGTAGTGCTTCAAGAAGTCTTGCTGAATGAGTTCAGGGACAGGGGTACCACTGCAGGCTAGTAACTGCACTGTTATCCCAGTGCCTGTGGCTGGGAATGGGTCAAAGGGCTCTTTCTAGGTTTGGTGAGAACACCCTGGAAACAAGTTGATCTTTCCTCCTGAACCTTTACAGCAGAATGCGGAAATGAAGTTGACACTAACATAAATGCAGGTTTTATCTGGGTCTGCAGCTGTTATAAGCTCCATCCATTTCCTGATGCTCAGTCTTTTGGTCAGTGCCTGGACCTCCACACTCTCGTCCTTGACAGTACCCAGCACCATCCAGGATTGAGTGTCATCATGGAACACGGGACAGCAGGATGGTTCCATGTGCATGGCACAGGCATAGCCCTGTGAACAGACTGCATGGTGATAAACATCCAGGATGTGCATCTGGATCTGCACGCCAGCCCCAGAGCTGCAGAAGTGAAGGGCACACATTGAGCTGATGGCATCAGCTACTGTTTGTTCTAAGGCTACTTTCTCTCTGTGGGTGCTGGCGACTTTAACATCGTCATCCACACCAAAAAATAAATATCCACCCTCGGTGTTTGAAAAGGCTGAGATGTATTTAGGAAGGCTTTTTTCTGATGCATTACAAACTACTCTTTGTACTGCATTCCTTAAATTCAGTAAGTGCTGCCTCTGTGAAACACAGGACCTCCTCAATGAGCACTTCATCCTTCTTTATACACCTGCCCACAGCATCTTGGATGTTGTGCTCTTGCATGTTCAGAGGAGTCTCTTTTGCTCCCTCATAAAAACTCAGCTGAGCTCTCTTGGGGTCAGTCCATTCTCATTGTGGCACTTGCCACAGTTTTTCTTCCTCAGGAATTCAGGAGCTTCTCTGGAAGTCACAGGATAAACCAATGCACTTGGGCCTATGAAAACAAACCAGTGGTTAAGCTGCAGAGGTGCAATTTTGTGGCTGCACCTCCCAGCTCCGGACCTCCACAGCACCATGTTTTAACAAAAAGCAGCAGGTCACTCCCCTTCTGCATCCATGCAAAGTATTCAGAGGCCTTGCTTCTGCCAGTGTAATCCCTGAGGCTTGTCTCTATGTCTCCACAAATGCTATGCTCCCAGAAGAAGTCATTCTTGTCCTCATGCTCCATTCTCAGTATTCCTCCTCCTGAATTCAGCAATGCACACACTTGCTATGGAAAAGACTTCTGTTTTCTGATTGCTAGACTTCTTCTTTCTGGAACTCTTTCCTGAAAGTATTTTCCCAATAACCACAAACACATCAGGAGTTTGTGTTCAAATCAATCATGCAGCTGCCCCTCCTGGCTGGCCATCCTGATGCTGAAATGATATATTATTAAAAATACTTCATGATTATCACAGAATTGTTAGGATTCAGAATTGAACAGAATTGTTGGGAAAGTTCTCTAAGACCATGGGAGTCCAATTTGTCCCATAGCACTGCCAAGGCCACCACTAACCCATGTCCCTCCCCATAAGCTACATCTACACATCTATTAAATCCCTCCACAGATGGTGATTCCACCACTGGCCTGGGCAGCCTGTGCCAGAGCTGGACAACCCTTTCACTGAAGAAACTTTTCCCCAGTGTTCAACCTAAATCTCCCCTGAGAAAACTTGAGACTGTTTGCTGTGATAAATGGATGTGATTCATGCTAATAAAATTGCAATTATATCAATAGTTTGGGAAAATAGTAAGAAAAAGCATACATTATAAGTATTACAGAGCAGGAGGGTTACCTTACAGATTATTCTTGTGAGAAAATGGATATAGGATGTAATGGTGGAAGAAGCAGAATATCCAAATGTAGAAACGGCCTTGAGGAGGAAAAACTCCCAACACATAATTGGCAGAAGTCAGTGTCCTGGTTTGTAAGATAAGCTTGTATTCTATTTGCCATCTGTTGGAGGTTGGGCAGGTTTGTTATCTCTTCCAAGAACAATGGTTTGCTCCGAAGAGGTAATGGTTTGTTAATGGGCCATTGACTGACTCACTGAAGGCCTGGTAACATAACACCATCCCATTGTGAGATACTCCACCCAGAGGGGGAAGCCAAGCACTCTTATTGTATAAAGGGGTACCTTTTGGGAGACAGAGCAGCTCTCTCTTTGCGGGATTCCCAGAGAAGCAGCTCCTTCGGCGGGATTCCCAGAGAAGCGGCCGGAGCGCGGTGAGGCGGCAGCGGCAGAGCTCGGAGGCGGCCCCGGCACAGAGGAAGACCGGCCCAACTGCCACCAGATCTTCAGAGAAAACTATACCCCTCTAAAGATCACCACTTCAGCTGCAATTCATCAGCCACTGCAAGAGGAGCAGCTGTCATTTCAACCGGACTGCTACTAACACCCCGACTCCTCAGGGTGTCAGGTTGTGGACTTTATCACTAGTTTTGTTTGTACCAATTGCATTTGCCTTTTCAAATTGTTATCTAGTTTTCTCCTAGTAAAGAATTGTTACTCCCATTCCCATATCTTTGCCTGAGAGCCTTTTAATTTAAAAATCCTGGTAATTTGGAGGGAGGGGGTTTACCTTCTCCATTGCACAGGAGGCTTTAGCCCTCCTTCACAGACTCCTGTCTTGTCAAACCAAGACAGTCAGGAACTGACTCCAAACCAAATTTGGCACTAACTGAAGTTAACTCCTAGAGCAGGATCGACCTTGAATATGAATAAAGTTGGGACCATTCCAGACAGGGAGTCTAAAATAGTGGTCTTATCTATGAAATAAATAAGGTTTAATTGGAACATACTGCTTACTTATATAACATCAAGCTCAATGTGAATGTGCCACCTGCCAGGTTATCCAGAGGACATGTGAGGAAGACCTTTGGCCTTTCTCCAAGAAGACCCCTGAAGAGACCAGAAGACCCCATAGCAACAATGGAAACATGCACTGTGCAGCAGAATGATGTAGATGTCAAGAATCGGAAATAGGAGATTTGTGGGAAACTATTAATGAATATGTATTAGTATACAGTATATGTCGTGTTTGGATCCTTTTGCCTTTTGTACATGAGGCAGGATGGGAAGCTCTTCACATACCCCAACCAATCAGTTTTTGCTTATGCTTTATCGGAACCGCTACCAAATTTATTTTTGTAACTACCGAGTTATATTTGATTGTGTTATTTTATCTCAATTAAAACTGCTGCTAAATTTAAAGTTTGTGGTATATTAAATTAGACATATGGGACCTCATTCACAACATTCCCCTCATGCCACTCCTTGTTCTGTGGGAGCAGAGCCCAACCCTCACCTTGCTTGTACCCTCCTGTCAGGGAGGCCAGCACCAGCCCCCGTTTAGCAGAAACTTCCCTTCTCTTCCCGCACCGCCCCTCCCCACCAGGCCGACATCGTGCTCTGCATCTGTATTTCAAACAGTTTAATTTGAAAAATATTCTATTCAGTGCTAAAATAACTTTCCACTTCCACACGCGGCCGCGCCTCCAGCTTCACCAGACTCGATCACGGACTCGGCGGGACATGCAGTGGCAGTGGGGGGAGAGTGGGGCTGGGGGGACAGTGGGTATTGGGGGGCGGCAGAGCCCCAGGGCGGGAGCGCTTCCTGGGTGCTCCAGCACCCTGGCGCTTCCTTCACCACCTCAGTGAAAGCGGGTACCTAGGCCGGGGCGAGATCCTCCAGCACAGGGCAGCAGCTCCCCCTGCTCTGCTGGCTCCTAGGGGACTGCAGATTCCACTCAGCTGGAGTTGTGCCCCGAGGCAGAGCCGAGGCCGGTCAGTACCTGCCCTCCAGGAGGGGAAAGTGCTCCCCTCTCTCCCAGCTGAATGGCTTAAACTAGCAGCTTATTGCACAGTGTCCCAGTGGGTCCCTGCTGGCCACCCCTTCACTGCCCCCCATAACACATCACCCGGAGCCAGGTGGAAGGTTGCTCTCCTGTTCCCAGCACCCAGGGGAAGGGCAGGCAGGGGAGCCACAAGCAGGCAAACAACATCTGCCAGTGTCCCAGGGACCATGGAGAGCAGGGAGCCCCATGGAGAACCCCCCCACACATGCAGCCCACCCAGCGGAGACCCCCAACTCTAGGGCAGGGAACGGGGAGAGAAGGAGCCAATAAATAGAGGCAAATTTGCAGGTACTGGCAGCAGCCCCATCCATCAGGCAGGGCAGGGCATGGCGCACTTGATGTGAGTGGTGGGAGCCCCGACACTGGGGAAGGGGCAGGCTGGAGGGAAGCGCTGATCCTGGTGGGGCCAGGCAGTTCTGCAAGGGGCTGGCGAAGGTGCCGGGCCAGGCAGGTTAGCTCTCTGAGGCTGTGTGGCACACAGAGTTCTGATCAGCACAAAATCTCTTCAGAGGTGGTGCACTGGAGTCCTCCTCCTCTTCAGTTACCTGCAAGAGCCAGAGGTCACAGGCAGTGATACCAAGCTACGCACACCTAGACAAGGCTGTGTCACACTATGGGGACAGCCCGGGCTGTCAGTTATGCACAGACCCCAGGGCACCAGGAATGGGAATCCACTCCAGCCCTGGAGCCTGCCAGAATTGTAGTTTTCGCACACCCCCATATCCTTCCCTCACACTTCAACACTTGATCTGAACCAGGGGATAAAGACCAAAGCTCAGAAAACCAGGAGGTTCTGGGAGCTCCCAGGGGGCACTTTGGGACTGCAGAGCAAGTCCATCCACCAAGATGCTTCAGCTACAAGAAGTAGCAACAATGGTCAAAGGGCCAGTCTGGGTCCAAGCACATTTAGAGATGGCTTCAATCCCCCTTCCCTTACCTGAGTCTCAAGAGGGACTGGCTCTTCCTTTGTGAGAGTGGGAGGCTCATCTGCCACTTCTGAGGAAGGCAGGGAGGGCTCTGGGGAGAACAGGTGGGTCAACAAAAATGCAGAGCCAGCACCCAGCTCAGTGCTGAACCAGGATAGAACACCTAGCTACAGAAGTCCCCGATGCCCTGGTAGCTTCCAGAAGCGCCAAGGCCACCCACCAGACCTGCAACAGCCCTGGAGTGGCCTTCCCTGAGCCCACCCATCTGCCTGCTCCCTTCTTGGCCCAGCACCCACCTTCCAGGGTCTCCTGCCCCAGGGTAGGAGGCTGCGAGTCATCCGTACGGAAGTCAGACGTGTGGGCAGGACTCATAGACTCACTCTGCTGAGGACTGGGGCTGGAGTTGGGGCTGCTGTCCACCTTGAGCTGGTATACATCAGACAAGGAGCTCTGGTTGCTGTTCTCATCTGCAGAAACAGCACCTGGTGAAGAAGAGCACCTTGACACAGCGGCACAGGCAGCCCAAGGTCCTGCTGAGATGGCAGAGCATGGTCAGAGAGTTAACCAGGGGATTCACTGTTCCCCGTCAGCCTAAGGGCTGTCAGGCACAGGACTGAGTCCTCCAGAACACAGTGGGAATCATATACATAACTGGCCATGGCAAAGGGAATGTTCCTGCCCTGGGAATGAGAACTGCCAAATTCCACATCTGCAGCTTGGGAGGGCCCTGGGCATCCAAAGAGCAGGAATCTCCTGCTCTGTATTAGGGTTTTGCTCCTTCTCTGTGAAGCAACACAAGGATTAATACTCAGCACCTGTCTCCCATGAGAAAGCAGGCCTGACACACACCTTGCCAAACTGCAGATCTGCAACATAACCCCACCACATCTCCTGAAGTGCCAGCAAATTCCTGATTTTCCTTAGCCACACACAGAGAAGGGGTTGGGGAGATGTGTACATTCTATTTCAGCAGTGAGTCTTGCTCTGCCAGAGCCTCTCCTGGCTGCACCACAGTGCCTAGACCAAGAGCAAGGCCACGGAGAGCCATTGCCCCTTCACCCTAAGGTCCATGGAAATAACTGTTGGAAAAGCAATCTTGGCTACAGGTGGCTACTGGACTCTCCCAAGCAGAGAATGGAAAGGGGTGATCAGGAAACCCCACTCCTCTAGTCAGCTGTGAAGCTTCCCACAAAAGAGTCCAGAAACAGCCCATTAAGAATCTCTAACAGCAAAAAGGAACAGTTTAGACAGAAACAATCCAGAAGTGGATCAGCCCAACTCCACAGCTCAACTTCATAGCTCTCTAGTCCACACCAGTGCTCAGAGGCAAGCACTGCTCTTCTCCATACAGGCAGCACAGAGAACCAGCAATGTCCCAGCTGCTGTACAGCCTTGGAGTCTTTCCCCATGCTGAAGGGAGCTCAGCCAGACCCACCTTGGAACTCCAGAAGGAGGGAGGAGTTGGCAGAGGTGTCAGCTGGGAAGCCATTGGGTTCTCGGGCCGTGCTGCTACTTGATTTGGATTTCTCTTTCTTAAGGAGAGAAAGAAAAGCACAAACACAATGTCAGAGAAACACATGCTGCTCCAGAGGAGCCATTCCCCTTTCTGTCTCCAGAAGCCCAGAGAGATGTGCTCAAGCTGGCCTTTTTCCCTTGCCTTTGGGGGCACATTCCTAAGTGAGAGGAAAAAACTCCATCTATGAAGGGACTGGAAAGCAGGAAAAGAGAGGAGGAGCAGACGCCCATCTAGGAATGACACTGAGTAAAGCAAATCCTTGGAGGAGTCAAGCAAAGAGTCTTAAGGGAAGCAGGAGGGGGCTCAAGGGAGCTCAGGGGGCTTGACAGTTCAGGGGATGCTCAGGTTGGCTGAAGGGGCCTGTTGGGGCTGGGAGGGGGGCCCAAGAAGGCTCGACAGGGACTTGGTGGGGTTCGGGGTCAGCTTGGGGGGGGATCAGGGGCTTGGGGGCGCTGGGAGGATCACGATAGGACAGGAGGGGCTCGGTGGGGCCTCAAAGGTCCTCAGCAGGGCTGGGAGGGCTCAGCGGGGCCTCAGGTGCTGGCTTGGAGAGGGCTCAGGGATCGACCTGGAGGGGACTCAGGGGGGTTTGGCGGCGTTCGGCGGAATCGGGAGGCTCAGGGATGGCTCGGTGGTCGGTAGGGCTGGGGAAGGCTCGGAGCTCAGCTGAAGTTAAGGGAGCTAGGCTGGCTGTGGGCGGTGGCTCCTGGCTCGTCTCCGCGCGCGGTACCCACCTCCTTACTGTCCGCCACTGGCACCCACTTGAATATCCGCAGGGACGTGTCACCCACCGTCACCCATTTCTTCTCCCTGCGAGACACGAGGGGGCCGGGCCGGGCCGGGGCACCATGGCAACAAGCCCCGCCCCCCGCCACCTTCCGGTTGGTCCGGAGCGCCGTCAGTTCCGCACCGGGCGGGCTGCCCCGCCCACCGCACTGCCATTGGCTGCACTCAAAGCCCATCACAGCCGCTTCCGTCCCCGCCCCGACCCCATTGGCCACCGCCCCTCCGCCCGCACCCGCTGGTTGGGCGCGCACTTCCGAGTCGCACCCCGCGGCGCGGCGATTGGCCGCGCGCGGGCGGCGCGGCCCTCCCCCTCCCCCCCCCGCGGGCCCGCCCTCACCATCTGCGGACGCGCTCGATGGCCGCCATCACCTTCTTGATGTCATCTTTGGCGCGGCTGCGGGTCTCGGCCCGCACCGAGCGCCCCGACATGGCGCGCGCAGCCCCGCAGCACCGGCCCCGCCGCACCCGCCGGCGCACCCGGCCCCGCGCACGCGCACTGCCTGGCCCGCCCGCGCGCTGCGCCTCCTGCGTCACCGCGCCCGACACGCCCCGGCTGCTGCGCCTGCGCAGACGCACGCGTCTGACAGCGGGCGCGGAAACGACGCGCGCGGGAAGCGGCGGTGCAGCGGTGGTTTCCCGTGGGGCACGTCCCGCTGCTCGATTCCCCCGAGATCCCGGGCCGAGGGAACGGGGCCACCCCGAGTCCGCTGCACCGTTACAGCACTGCCCCGTTCCCTGCAGCTGAATCCCTACCGTTCAGTATCAACACTGAACTTTGTCAGTTCTCTTGGAAAAAAAAAAACAAACGAAACAACTAACCATAAAACCTACCCCAAATGCACGCAACTCCCAATTCTAAGCTCAGGAGAACTCATAGGCATTGCCTTAGCAATCAATTCCATGGGATACTGATGATCTAAGCCCTGAGGGGAAAACAACACATGAATGTGACACTAGGAGATGCCACTGTCCCCAGCCCTGTCTTGCCATCACAGAGCACGCAAGGAAGAACCTGGGCACTCTGTTTATTATTGCTGTTCACAGTTATTTAAAAAAAAATAACACCCCCAAGGGAGAGTGCAGTTGCCTCCTGCTGTACAGGTAGCTTAGTACTTCTTGCCATAGATAGCAGCCAATGCTTTGTGAGCGCTGGAGATCTGCTGCTCCAGCCTCTCCTGCATGGCTTTGTTGCCAGTTTTTTTCAGCATGGCCTCCATCTCCTCCACCACAGCACGATGCCCAGCAGCGTTGTGGAAGACATGGATAGCACGATCCCCACAGGACACGATATAGCGGCCGGTGGTGTCAAACACAAGGTCTGTGACACAGTGGCTGTGCACGCCAAGAAAATGCTCCTCCTCCTCACCGTGCCGTGTGTTGTACACCACGATGTCTGTGCCGCCCGCCACGGCGACCGTGCGGCTGTCAGGGGACAGGGCAATGCGGCATGGCTCCGGCACTGCACACTGCCCTGTCAGAAGCAGATATGGGTCCTGCTGCTTCTTGTACTCCACATCTGTGTCCCAGAACTTCCATGTGCCATCCTTTGACACGGTTGCCATCCTGCAGCCAAAAGAGATCACGGTGAGTGTGTGGAAAAAGGGTGGCACCTCTTACCCTGCCCTGCCCATGAACCAGGAATCCTGTGGAGAGAGATCTCTTGGGAAGGGTGAGTCAATACACAGATACAGTCTCTGTTCTCTTTCCAAAGCAAAAAACCTACTACTAGACCAGGCTGCTCCAAGCTCCTTCCAATACAGCCTCAAACACTTCCAGGGATGGGGCAGCCACATCTTTTCTGGGCAACCTGTGCCAGGGCCTCACCACCCTCACAACCAAGGCTTTCTTCCTAATGTCCCACCTAACCCACTCTCCATCAGTCTGAAACAATTCCCCCTTATCTTGTCACTTCAGGCCCCTGTAAATACTGTCTCATCTTTCTTGTCAGTTCCCTTCAGGTCCTAGAAAGCCACAATTACATAACCTGAAACCTTCTATTTTCTAGGCTCAGCAATTCCAATTCTCTCCACCTTTCCTCATACCAGACCTGCTCAATCCCTCTGATCATGTTGGTGTCTCCTCTAGACTCACTCCAGCAGCCCCGTGTCCTTCCTGTGCTAAGACCCCAGAGCTGGAGGCAGCTCTGCGAGTGGGGTCTCACATGAGTGGGGCACAGGGGCAGAATTTCCCTCTCCTTTGTTACCCATGTGCTGTTTCTGGGCTGGGTCATGTCCATCTCTCACCTACCAGCACTCCCAGGCTGCTCTCAGTCTGTTCATCCCCAGCCTGGATTGATACCGGGGGTTGCCCTGATCCAGGTGCAGCATCAGCACTTGGTCTTGTTAAACCACATGAGATTCCTATGAGCAGGGAATACATAGGTGGCATGAGCTAGATTTGGCTCCCCAGGGTAGTGTTTTACCCCCTGCAGTTTAGTGATGCAGCTGGTGAACCCTGGAAGAGATGAGCTTACATGTTGTTAGGGTAACTCGGAGCAGGTAACACACATACCTTCTTGAGTCATTGGAGAAGGAAAAGGATTGTACACCAGCAGTGTGGCCTTTCAACTCAAAAGCCCTGGTCACCTCCCTGAAGTCTCCGTTCTTACTAAAATACACTTCCCACACTTTCACATCAGGGGTAAAGCCACAGGATGCCACAAACCTGTGTGAAGGAACAGAAGCAGAGACACAGGTTGCCTCTTAGAGAGAACCTGAGCAAGGCAGGGCCACAGTTCTGCAAATCCATCCTGACTCCTGCACTCAAGCTGAATTTCCACTTTTCTCTGAAACCTAGCTGGTAAAGGGAACACTAAGGAAGGGTACCAGAACAACTCAGGAATGAGAAACTCTTCGGTCAAAGTAGAAGAGCTAAATGCTATGGATCCCCAAACTCCTCATGCCAGGAGCAAGGCAAATCCAGCTACAGCAGCAAGTGATTTTCCCAATTAACAGATTTCCCAGGAAAATAATCTTTATTTTTATAATTAACCTTTAAGAGGTCACAGACAAGTTCAAAATGCTGTTTTCTTTGCAGAGGGCATTTGCTCTGTCCCACCCCTGCTACCTGAGACCAAAGCTGCTCTCAGGTTACCAAAACAGCAGTGCTGAGGCAGAATAGCAACACAAGAGTGCCTGACCCCACATCAGCTCCATCTCCTGGAGGGCCAAGATATCTTTTTAAACTGTGGAACCCTCAGAAAACTGCATTGCAATAACAATTAACTGCCAATGGTCTGAACTGATGCTATGCTGTGCAAAAGAGTAGCCTGGAATCCTGCCTGTCACTCACCTCCCACAGGGTGACACTGTGGCATAGGCATTGTTCATCTGGTTGGTGTTAATGCTGGCCAGGACTTTGCCCTTTGGGCTCCAGATCAGGATGGTTGTGTCACTGGAAGCTGTCATGATAAACTTCCCTGGGGAAAAAAAGGCAAAGTTCAGGAGAGCCCCCAGACCTAACACTGCCACAGACTCAATGAAGCCCCAGGATAACCTCTCCCTGCAGCTGGAGAAAACCACCAGCAGCACCAAAATCCAAGGAGTGTCAGTCTCCTAGGACAGAGTAAAGAGCAGTATCAGAAGACTCAGCTCCTGGTTATGCCTGAGTAGTCCCCTGGCTCCCAAGCAGGCAGCAGGCACTGAGCCCATGTGTGCCCTATACTCAGGACTCTGAGCCCCACAAGCAGAGCTGGGAGCCCCATGTGCAGCCCCACTGGGCTGTGCCACATACAGGAACAAACACTTCACCTGATCTGCATGCCCAAAATCAGCTTGAGGATAAGCACCTTTCAAGCTATGGATTGCAGGCAGGCAACTGAATCCCAGTCACAACCATGATCCACAGACCACGATCCATTATTGCTGGTTGTGCCCATACTGGACTCCTGCTTGTTCCCATTTCCCCTTTGCCACTTCAGCCCAGGCAGGGAGTTGCCTGTTTACCTTCCAGCTACTTGTTGCAGGTTTAAGTTTTCACTTTCACACCCCCAGTTTCAGTTAATATTTTACCTGACCTCCTATTACAGAGGTGAATTCACATCCACCTGCTCCCAACTGCCACTGGCACATACCTGACACATTAATCCATCAAGCCCTCACCACTAAAATGTAATTTCCACCCACCCACCCCCACCTCTGTTCTAGATGATCCCAGAAGCTCAAGGTAGACCATATTAACTCACTAGAGAGATTTCTCACTGGTTAAAGAGAGACTGGCAGCCCAGAGAACAGCAATCCTCTCAATATTGAGGCCAGACCTCTTTGCAACAGCATCTCTGAAAAGGTAAATTAAGAAACTGTGCATATCAAGGAGCTGGTTACAGGGATATTATTGGTGTGAAAACAACACCTTTTGGTTCAGTTGGTAGCAAATTAAGTAAAAAAATCCCTAATAGACTACAGAGTTTAGTACAGAGTTTAGTACTGATGCTGTACACAGCCCCGAGAATGCCAAAAACTCCAACACTTTGAATCAAGCAGCTTCACAAGGAAATAAAAGCTTATCTGGAGAGGTGAGCAGCTCATTTCCATACCTGTCTCTGCAATCCCTATGTTAATGACAGGAGCCTTGTGCTTCTTTGGGAAGTCCCCAGAAGTCGCAGTGAAGGTGAAGCTGCCATCATCCTTCTTGGTCATCTTGTAGACGCGAATAGTCTCAGCATTGGCCAGCCAGACAATGAAAGCCCTGTGGAGGGACAGGCTCTGAGCCCCAGCTCAGCCCAGGTCACTCAGGGGCACCTGGGAAGAGGGATATGCTGCCAGATGAAAGTATTTACAAGGGCACCAAGTTCTCTCCCTGTGTTGGTTCAACTGCAACACTGAATGAAAAAGAATGAAATTTATTATCCATACGAGGAAACAAGATCCCTTTCTCTCTTTCCAGAAGAGACCACTTCAAAAAGCCAAAACACATTCTTCCACCAAATTTCCCACCCAGCAAGAGCTCCCCTGGCCACTGGAGAGACTCAGTAGCACATTGCAGCTGCAGTCAGCTGGCAGTGACCTCAACAGATACCTTCCATGGGGGCAGCAAGCTGTGCACAGGGATATTTGGCCTGAAAACCACATTAACCCACCAGGAGCTGGACTAGATGATCTCCAGAGGTCCCCTCCAACTTGAACTACCGTGATTCTGTGATTAAGTGCCAGCTGCTCTCAGGAAAGGCCATGGATAAGTGATACTGTGATGACCTGGTGAGAAATGCTGCCTCCACCCATCCCAGAGCAACACCACTGATCCCACCACAGCTTGGCCATGAGACTGGCGGCTCTGCAGGACATCCCGGTACCAGTACAAGGTCCGGCTGTACCGTGAGTCAGGGCTGAGGCGGACGAGCTCGGCGTGGTCCAGCCCCATGTTGATGCGCAGGCAGCGGTGCTCCCGCCCTGCCAGGTCCCGGGTGCTCCACAGCCGCACTGTGCGGTCGTCGGAGCACGACGCCAGGTACTTGCCGTTGCTGCTGAAGTCCAGGCATGTCACCGGACTGCTGTGGCCCTGCAGACAGAAAGCGATCATGAAGGACATGGGGCGGATGGGGAGGAGCAGTAAAACACCAGCACCTGGTGGGGGGAAGAGGTACACCAGCATCGAGATGGACACCTGCTCCTGTTATGAGCAAAACAGCCTTGCTGGGACACTTGGCTAGAACTAAGTACTAACATTGAAATGTTAATTAGCTAATTGCTCCTGGGAATCACCTACACACCCCACACCCCCACACTCCCCCCCCCCCCCACCAACTACCATTCTAGGACTGGGATGCAAAATAGGGAGACCAGTGGAATCATGGGAGGGGGGTTTGGGGATGAAAACACCCATAAATGGAAGGCTAGGCACAGTGGAGGGGGCTCAATGGGTGCACTGGTTGGGGAAAAGGGAACCACATCCCTAGTCTGTGTTTGACCTGTCACCATAACCCTCAGAGGACCAGACTGGACTGAGCTGTGGGAAGCAGGAACAAAAGAATAACTATTTCTGGTGTTATGAGGAGGAAAGGAGAGAGGACAGCTGCTGCTGGACTTCAGCAACAGGCTCTGCACATCCCCTCACCCTGCGGCTACCAGTGTGCCACGAGGAAAGGAGAGAGGATGGTCTGCTGGGACTTCAGATACAGACTGCACACCTCTTCATCTCTGGCTACCAGTGTGCCACAGAGACTCCAAGGACAGATTCTGCACGCTTTCTCACCCTTCGGCTACCAGGAAAAAGCTACAACAGCGGGGGCGAGCTCCGTGTCGAGCCCCCTGCCCAGCTGATCTTTTTAATAAAGAGCTGCACATTAAGGCATAGACCCTGCTCATTTCACTCCGACCCCGGCAGGACAATGGCACCGGGGGGGGGGGGGGGGGGGGGGGGGGGGGGGGGGAGGGGAAGGGGGAGGAGGGATAGGTGGGGGCAGCGGCCGGCGGGACACCGATACCGAGGGGGACACCGATGCCTAGCAGCACACTAGCATCAGCACTGGGAAGGCACCGGCCCCTTGAGGTACCTTGAGGGCAGCCACCAGCAGCCGATGTGCGAAGCTGTGCTGGTGCGGCTTCTCCCTGCGAGCCCTCACCACCGCCTTCGCCTTCCGCGGCTCCTGCGGCCTGGCCTGTCCGTTCGCCCTGGGTCCTGCGGGAGCGGAGGGGTCGGTGGGTACAGTTCAGCTCCGCTCCGCTTTGCCCGGTGCCCCACCGTCCGCACGGTACTCACCGTCCTGCGGGGCGGTGGGGGTCTCCCGCGGAGCAGAGCGGTGCAGCGCGAACGCCAGCAACAGGACAAGGATGAGGACGATGAGGGCGCCCGGTATCTCCGACGCGCCCAGCGCCGCCGCTGCCTCCATATTCCCGCCGCCGCGTCAGCGGCCGGCACCGGGAGGGCGGGAATTTCCGTGTGCGGGTACGCGGTCCCGGTAATACGCGGAGGGCGGCCCCTGGCGGTAGCATCGCACCCCCCGCCCAGGCCGTGCCCCATTCAACAGCGGATACCCCTGACTCCTCCTAGGCCCTGTTCTCAGCCCCTGCCTCCCACATAGCCCCGTAACACCCCCCCCCCCCCCCCCCCAGACTCTAACACACTCCCCCAGCACCTGAGCACCCCAGACCGTGCTTTCCACGAAGCCCGGGCTCCTCTCATCTCACTTCCAGCTTCTACGTCCCCCCCGCCACCCCGGTCCCTGCCCTCATGCTCCCCAACGCCAGCTCCCCTCGAGAGACTGCTCCCCCAAAACCCGGCCATCACCTCCCGCCAGCTCTTACCTTAAGCCCGCTCCCTGCCCCCGCCAGCCCCTGCCCGCACCTCCTTTCACACCCCACACCCCCCACGCCAGCCCCGGACCACCCCTCCACAGCCTCTTCCTTCACTTGCCCCCACCTCAGTTTCTCTCATCCCCCGCCCCCAGCCCCTGGCCCCCCTCCCCGTCGCGGCTTTCACCCGTCCCGGTGTCACCCCCCTCAGGTCCCGGCCGTGCCCAAAGCGGCCCCGGGTCTGAAGAGCCAGGCGGAGTCCGTGGCACAGCAAATCCTTTATTGCAGAGGACAGGGCAGGACAGCCCTCGTGCAGTCCCGGTCCCCACGCCGGTGCCCGAGGGACACCCCGTAGCCCCCGGAGTAGTCAGATGGAGGAGGAGGCGCCAGGGCGTCCCAGCGCCGCCACTGCCCGCGCCGCCTGCTCGGGGACACGGGCAGGGTCGCTGAGGATGGCGGTGGAGATGCTCAGCTGCCGCAGGGAGCTCAAGACAGCTACGGGGATAGGGGACAGGGGGCTGGAAGGCGTGACCCATGCTGGGGAAGACGGCGCTGCCCGGCCCCGCTCCAGCCCCCGGAATGGTGGGACTGGTCGCTTCCACAGTCCCAGCAGACGCGGTGAAGGGAAACCCACCCTGAGGAGCTTTGGGGAGGGCTGAGTCTGCCCCGCCGAGACACGGGGTTGGGGCACTTCCGGCTCAGTTGGGGCGTGGGTGTGCCAGGAGCACGGGAAATCACTGATCAGGAGCCCCAGGACGTCCCACACATCATCCCTGCCATCCCCCAGGACACCCCTGTTCTCTTCCCCTCAGTCCATGCCAACCCAACTTGGTCAGTGTGCCACAGCCAGGCACAGGGCCACCTACTTGGCCGAAGTGCTGGGAGGGAGCAGTGCTGGTCCAGCCAAGCGAGCGATGTTTGGGTGAGGCTCTCCATGCTGGCTGTGGACACCATGCCATTGAAAGACTCGAAGAGGGGCCGAATAATGATACTGAACTGTTGGGATCAGAGGAGTTAAGGACCAGCTTTGCTATGACAATGGTCTCACTCCTCCCAGGCATGGGCATCACCCTTCTATCGCAGCAGGACAGACTTTCTTGTCTGGGCATGGAGCAGAACTGCTGGGACAGCAGGACAGGCCATGGAACAGACCTGCTTAGTGCTGTCCCAGCATAGCACCACATCTCACATTAGACCAAACTGCTGGGGTGATGGCCTAAGTGTTACCTGGGTAGGCAGTGGGAGACATTCAAAACCCCTGTCATGGCTGGGGTTGCTAGAAAAGGTTGCTGAGATACAAGACATGTCCTTCAGAGCAGGTCAGGGAACCAGCTAGAAAAGTGCTCAGGGACCAGGCAGGACACCAGTCTGTCCCGTAAGCTCCCCTATTGCTTCCAGCCTGCAGGGACCAGCCTGGTGTTTTTGTGCAGGCAATAATGCACAGAGATGCCTCCACCACAAGCATGTCCTAGAGCCCATGCTGGCTTTACTATACCCCATGTCCTGAGGAAGGAGCTCAGAAGGATGCATCAGAAGTAACCTCTGCCTTGTCCAGATGCCCTTTGCTGGATGGGACTATGGGCAGCAGTGCCTTTCATCACTCTGCCACTTGGGATTTCACAGACCTCACAGGCTCAGCCAGTGATTCCCAGTGTGTCTAATCCATGCTCACAGAGGAGCAGATCCAGCCCTTTGCCCGTAGGTTCCTTGGCCCTTGATCCTCTCCATTCCTGTGTTTCCAGGGTATGGCATGCAACCACCAAGACCAAGCCATCATGTTCACAGCTTTGTGTCTAGACCTTTCCTAATCCATGGCTACTGCCTTTCAGAGCCAGTTCCCATGTCATTGGGAGCAATTCCCTCCATAAGCTTAGCTCCACTTCCCTTCTCCCTGATGACCACTTACCCAACTGTTTTTGATTCCTTGGAGCAGAATATCCCTCCTAACCACAGAATACCAGCATATTCCCACCATGTGACTTTGGCTGGGAAACATCTCCCTGTGGTCCCCAAAGCCTCCTGAGCTTAAGAGACCCCAAAGACCCAGTAGCAGCAGATGAACCAGAGCACCTGGTGTCTAGTGGAGGGTGAGACAGAGCAGCAGGCACTGGCCCCAAAGGATACGATCCAGAACTTCCAGTTCTGCAGTGTGGAGGAGCGAACATACTCATCAAACATTCTGCGCAAGTGGTCAAAGCGCTGTCGTGTGATGGGCACCCCTGTGGCTGGCAGCTGCTCCTGGCATAGGCTGTGGGGAACAACCAGTGTTGTGGGGCCATGTTTGGGAGGCTGGGAAGCTCAGCAGGAGTTGCCAGCCACCTCTCAGGGCAGGTGTGGGACCTGGCCCTACTCTGTCCTGCCTCTTGAGTCTCAACCCTCCCACAGAGAGGATTTGAAGAGGGGCAGTCAGCTGGGAGGTGCTGCAGGGAGCCCTGCCATGTCTGTCCTGCTGCTATCCTGGCACTGCTGCTTGCCCTGCCTGGCTCCCCTAAAGCAGGCAGTGCTCCCCATCTCCCCCAGCCATGGCCTCCTTACTTGATGGAGCCATTGAGCTCCTCGATCTGCTCCCGCAGACGCTGTGCCTCATCCTGCAGAGCTGCCCGCTCCTGCTGCAGCTTGCAGATGTACTCTGCTGTCTTCTGCAGGGTGGTGGCCTTGCTGACCTGGGGGGCCGTGGGGGTGAGAGGGGAAGGGGTCCCAGACTACCCTCCCACAGCCTCACTGTGTGCCTGCTGTGTGCTCCAGCCTCCTGCACCACAGGCTGGGGCGCAGGAGAGGAGGTCTGTGCTGTGGGTCACAGCAGGGATGCAGTGTCTCTGGCTGATGTGCTGTGTTCCTCCATGCCCAGGGCTCACCCTGGGTACTCACCTTGATGCTGGGCTGAGCACTCAGTGTGCTCACCAAGCTGTGCAGTGTGGTGAAGCCAAGCTTGATGTTGAAGCGTCTCTTCTGCTCAGCGGAGATGTGTGTGATGCGGCGGCTCTCCAGCTGCAGGTCAGCGCCGTCAGGCACCTCCCAGCAGCGGGGACAGCATGGGCCACCAGCCCCACTGGGGACAGGCTGGCCCAAAGCGTGAAGTGAAGGTAGATGGTGTCTTGGGGGGAGGAGGAAAGGGGGATGCATATAAAGTTGGCAGCTCTTGCCATACCTTGCTGGACTCAGGCCTTCCTGGACGGGACATGGGCTGGTGCAGGGAGATGCTAGTGCCCTGCCTTGCAGTGAGTCCTGGGGAAACCTGGCTTGGCTTGGGCCAGTCACTGCCTGAAAAAGGAAAGGTGCTGCTATGAAGAGTGTGATAGCAACAGTACTCATGACAAGGTGATGTCTCAGCACCTGGGACAAGCAGAGAGGGGCATCCCACAGTGCTGTCCCCACCCCAGGACAAGCCACCCCACTCAGCTGATGGGGATGCTCCACTTCAGCCTCCAAGCACACATTATCCCAAGTCCCTCTCATTTTACAGCTGTTCAGAAATGAGAACATCTGAGATTTGACATTTTAAATGCCCAGTATTTCTTGGGGTGGAAATTGCATGGAAAGAGTTGTGAGGGCAGCAAGGTTGTGGTGTGCAGCACCAAACTGAACTGGGAACACCAGAGCCCGGTTTCCAGCAGCCGCACTGGGTACTGTAGGTGAAAGCGGATGCTTCTTGCTCCAAAACCAAGCTCCGGGGTTTCAAAACCACAGTCTGACATTTTGTTCCATTTTTGTCTTTCCCTATTTCTGCTTTTGCTGCTGGAGAAAGAAGCAGGCAAAGGGGCACAGAAGGAATCATCCAGGCTCAGCAGGATAAATGGAAATAGCCAGGATTGTAGCCAAAATGAAAATTCCCACAGCGCTTTGTCCAAGCTCTCTGCAGGAGCCCCAGTGCCCTGTGGAGCTCCTTGGGGTGGTCCAGACTCACCACAAGCTGATGTGGGGGACAGCTGCTCTGTCTTGGGGACTTGCAGAGGGCCCAGCTGTGTGTCCACTGTGTGCAGCAACACCTGGGAAGGGCTGGAGCCAGGAGCCAGTCCTGGGCTCATCTGGGCCATTCTGGAGAGGAAGGTGGCAGGGACTTTGGGGACAGTGCTCTGCTGCTGGGAGAAGACAGAGGAAGGGGATTTGGGGGATCAGCACCCCACGCACACCAGGTTGCACCAGGATGTGCAGCTCCTGCCATCATCTGCAGGGGCAGCCACAGTGCCCCAGAAAAGGGGCCCTGCAAGCAGGATGTCTCTTACTTCTGCCTTGATTGTTTTATAGGACAAGAAACTCAGGCAACTCCTGCCATCCCCAGCCACCCAGCCACATGCCCCCTCCTTCCCTCCATTTCTGTCCAGCCCCCACCAAAGTGTGACCTCCAGAGCCCACCTTCACCCCTTCCCCAGCAGCCAGGAGAAGGCAATTCCCAACCCAGGGGGGTTTTTAGTGCTTACCGGGGAGATAGGGGTCGTGGGCATGAGTCCTGCACCCATTGGGCAAGGGGTATCCAGCGCCAGATCCTGCTTGGCTGAGGGGGTAGGGAGCAGATGGGCACTGCTGTGTGAAGCTCTTGGGGCTGGGCTGACCTTCCCTGCCCCAGGAGACAGCTAGTCCCTCCCTGCACCAGAACTGCTTCAGCCCCTTCCCTGCTGGATTGCCCCAGAGAACAGGGATGTATCTCTGTAGGAGGAGTCTATTCTCCTCACAGGGGAGTTCTCAGGAGTTTCGGGCAGGCAGGGAGCCCTAGCCCCTCCTCAAGCAAGCAGAGGGCCATAACAGTGCCCAAGGGATCTGTCTTATCACACCGACAGGTAGCATATCAGGCAGGATACCAGTGGCCCCCCAGCCGTTGCGCCAACAGAGCCATAGAGACCAGACTAGGGTCACAGGAAATTCCCAGCAGTGCCTGTGGCCAAGTCCGGGGGCTGGGCTTATTCTCCCTCTGAGGCCACTGAAGCCAGGGCTGATCCCTCAGGTATGGCTTCACCCATGGCTTTGGAACTATCCCACTATGGAGACTGCCATGCGCCCTGCCCAGTATTCCCTGTGTTGCAACCCCAGGGAAAAATGGGGTCCCCACTCTGAATCCCACAACACCATGCCCCCCACCTCACTCCTGTGTCCCCCCACAGCCCCCCAACCCTGTTACCTGTGGTCAGGAGCTGGCTCGGGCAGCGGTTGGGCTCAGGCAGGTGGGACAGGGGGTGTCCTGGTAGCCTCCTTGCCTTGGTGCCACTGGGCTTTGCCTTGGGCTGCCCACCCTCACCCTGGGGTGGCCCCTTGTGGGGGGTAAACCTGGAGTTGCCCAGCAGGGTGGGGGGCAGGAGCTGGGAGACAGCAGGGCTGGAGTACCCCTGGGGCCCCATGCCTGTGGCATAGCCCAACCCTGGGACGTAGGGGGCAAAGCAAGGGCTTGAGAGAGGGGAGGCAGGGTGGGTGGCAAGTGAGGGGTCAGGTGAACTGCTGTAGGGGAGCTTAGAGCGGGGGGCCGAGGTGGGGGAGAAGGGGGGTTCCAGGCTCAGCAGTGGTGCCCGGGGGGACGGGACTGGGGGGGCATAGTGGGGTGCTGGTGGCTCCGGGCCAAGGCACTTGCCAGGGAAGTCGTACTGCAGTGTGGGCTTGTGTCGGATCTGGGGGCTGAGGCTGCTGGGTGCCACTTCGGGGGGTTCAGGGGGCAGGGGGGCCAGGGGCAGCTCAGAGCCCAGGAAGGCGCTGTGGAGGCTGAGCTGGGAGGCACCACTGGGCTGCAGAAGACATGGCAGGGTCAGGATGGGTGACTGGTACACCACCAGTAAGCCAAAGGCTGCAGGCTGGGATCCCACTCACCTGCAGGAGGGTGCCAGGTAGGAATGGGGTCTCGGAGCTCACAGGCAGACCCCGAGCACCCATCAGGGACCCCCCACTGCTGAACAGGGGCTCAGCCATGGGTGAGAAGCAGGATGGGTCCTGGTAGCCCAGTTGTGTCTGAGATGGGGATGGCCGGTGGCTGGTGAAGATTTCTGCGGAGCCAAGTAGAGAAACAGCGACCGGCATAAGTGGACGTGCCCGGCAAGGAGGGGGACACCATGGGGCATGAGGGGTGGAACCATACCCTGCTACTGGCACTCTGCACTTTTTGGGGTTAGGGCATCTCCAGCAAATTTTCACTCAGGGCCAACAAGTTCTGTGCTGCCCACTGCACTGCTGCTTTGCGTGCAGCCTGTGGCTAACCACATCCCATGGCCTTCCCGAAGCCAAGCCGCGTGACCCTGCCATGACTCCTACTCCCTTCCTCTCTCCTTCCCACAGCCCTGGTCCTTCCGCAGGCCCAGACACCACAGCACAAAGGGCTGGCCCCACACTTTTGGCAGCTCTCTCCCTGGGTGCATCAGCCCCATGAATGCCTTGGCTCAGTGCCTGTGTCAATGCTGGTTCTGGCATCGCCACAGGGAGGGTTTTTCATGGAGAGGATGACTGTGGGACACGGATGGCACCACTGGATGCTTCCCTGTAGGATGCAGTAGGAGCGTTCACTATGTTTGCTGCCTAGCAGCCCCTGGCACAGATGCAGTGCCTGAGCAGGCACTGGGAACAGGCACTTGCATCTCCTCTGGGAATCACCTAGCTGTGCTCTCCAGCCCTTGGCTGGCACTAGCATGCCAGCTCCAGGCCCTGCTGCTAGTTCTGCCCACCTGGTGTGCACAGCCATGCTTAGGGCACCATCTGTGGTCCAGGCTGCAGCACCTGGGGTGCCCTGGCTGGGACCCACAAAGGCCTACGGTCCTGCTGAATCTACACCAGAGGAGCAAACATGCCAGCACTGTGGATGCCAGGGGACTGGACATGGTGATGATTCCAGCACACCACACGCTGCCATCTGAGGGGAACACTGATGTGAGACAGGACAGAGCCACTGCTGAGATGTCCCAGTCAGCTCTCAGACTGCCTCTTACGCCTGCCACAGCCATGGTGAATCCCTGACAGCATGTCAGGGCCATCCTTGCCCCTCCACAGGCCAGCACTCTATGTGTGCCGCAGTGCTGCCAGGCAGGAGCTTGGCCTTCCTGGGATGCAGTCCCAGCCCCACATTGCCCCCACCTCAGTCATGCTCGCACAAAGATGTCTCTGCCACCAGCACTGAAGCTCTGCAGGTATTTATAGGAATCTGTGGTACCCAGCCTGCCAGATCCAATTGTGCCTCTCACCGTGCCAGGCCCTCTTGTGCCTCTCACTGTGCTACAGGGATAGAAGGTGGCTGGCAGTCCCTGGGAGCCTGGTCCTCCCTTTCTCCCACCCTTCCTCACCCCATAGCTCTTGCCCATGCTCCTCCTCACTGTCGTATTGGCCTGTTACACTCTAGGCAGTGAGGCATGGCCAGGGCACAGCCTACACAAGGGAGAAGAGCCTGCATGGTCAGCAAACCACACCTTTGGTATCCTGCTCAAACCTGGGGATTATCTCCAATGTGCTTGGGCCTTCCCAACCCAAAGACCCTTCAGCACTTGTCCCAGGCTTTGGGGAGAGCCCTGCAGTGCAGCAGGGCATTGCCACCCCATGGGACAGACAGCCCAGCCCCAGTGCCCAGCACTGATCCTACCTGGAGCACGGTGCCAGCAGGGCACAGGGCTGGACTGCTCCCTCGCCTCTGCCATCAGCACTCGTCCATCTGCCTCACACCGCACTCCAGCACCCACTGCAAACACGAGATGCTTCCTCATTTGGGGATTGGTTTGCAGGCACTGACTGACAGGCACTGAGCTCTGCCACACCACCCCACACAATGACAGCCCTGTGACCTCATGTGCTTACCCCACATGCCTGCCCTGTCTAGCTCTGCACAAGGCTGCTGGGTGATCCTTGCTCCCAAGTTGCCTGCCCTGCTGAAAAAGTGACCTTTTGGGACATCATTGGGTTGGCTGGCACCCAGCATCCCTATCTCCTCTCCCCACTCTCCCCACAGTCCCAGGGGTACATGGCACACACAGTGCTCAGATGTAACATCTTATCACCCAGGGAGCTGCTCCATCCAGGACAAAACTCCCACTGACAGGTCTCCAAGCACCCTATGGGATGCTGCTCTGTCCCAGGACACACTAGCCTGGCAGACCAGGAGCCACAGCTAGACTTGGAACCCTGCTCAGCCCCAACAGTGTCCTTGGGCTAAGGCACTGGACATGGTCAGAGCAGGAAGGGATGTTTCCTTCTGATGTTATGGTCTGCAGTAAGACCCATCCCATTGCCAAGAAGCACCCTGAAGCAAAAATGGAGGCATTTTCCCCATAAAAAAGCCAACCTAACTGATATATTGTCTCAGAAAGGAATCACTGCGCTCCTGCCATCTCCTGCTGAGCTTGAGGCCATGCTGGGCCCTCAGACAGATTCTGAAGCTACTGCTGTGACACCATACAGAACCTCTCAGGATAAGGAACACTTACCAAAGGTCAATTTGACCCACTTGTAGCTGTCACACCTTCTAGCAACTGATGCCCACTTGGAGCACCAGGCACAGAAGGTGAAGCACCTGCCATGACAACAGACCCTCCACCCTGCATGCCTCACTCTGATGGGATCTCTGGTTGCAATGAGTTGAGAGGGTGCTGGCAGGAGTCTTCCCACCTCATCCATCCCAAGAGCATCCATTCCAAGGGCACCCATGCCACCACCTGCCCTGGCACATAGAGTGCCCAGCCTGCTCCCTGCCAGCATCTGGTCTTGCAACACTCCACAGCCATATGGTGCAAGTACCCTTCTTTCCTCCTCCTGAAGGAAGTGGAGATGGACCATGGAGCTCCAGCCTGCTCACACAGGGGTCTGGAGATGCTGGTGCTGCCCAAGGCCACTAGCTATAACTGGGTAGCTAGCTCTGGCATGTAGAGGGCAAAGCTGGTCACCAACAGTGCCTTGCTCTGGCATTTATGGTCACTGCTGTGACCAAGACATATCCCAGATGACTGCATGGATACTCACAGCTCAGAGCCTACATGGCAGCATGGGGCAGTTTGCCCCTGCCCACTTGCTGGTGTTCCCACAGTTGGAAATTAGTGCCAGATTTGTCTTTGGGCAGCCTGGCAGGGACACTGACTTGTCCCCAGGGCATGTAGCACAGCCCTGTGCAGGGTCCCAGCTCCAAACCAACCACCCAGGCTGGCTGGTCAGTGGAGTGAGGAGGGGACTCAGCAGAACTTACTCTCTAGAGGTTTCCTCTTCCTCTGGGGGACAATTGTCCTTCCTCTATCTGCAGCCAAAATGAGGGGCTTTAGCACTCCTGGAAATAACCTCTTTTTGTAGAAATCTCCTCCCACAGCTCGTGGCCAAGCCCTTCCTGACCTTCTGTGGCTCTTTCCAGGGGCAGGCAGGCACAACAAGGCTCTGCCTTCATTGCCTACAGCCCCTGCCCATCCATGCTGCTTTTCCTATGCCATTAGATGTGCAGTGCTTTCTGCCTGCCTCAGCAATTCCCACTACTGCCAGGCCAAACCTGTGACCCCCCCATTTCAGGCAGTCACAGCGTGCAGGGCTGGGTGGGATGCAGTACTTCAACCAGGCTGCCTCTTACCTGATATGTCCATGTCATCCAGGCTGGGCTGCAGGGGTGCCAAATCCGGCTGTATCATGTCAGCATTCCCAACATATGCTGGAAGAGGGCAGAGCTGGAACATCAAAGCCCAGCCACTGCATCCCTGAGACCCACCTTGAGGGCTGCTCTCACCATTGCCCTGACACCTACTTGGCTGTCACATCTCTGTGTCACCCCAGAATCACCCTGTATCTCCTGGGCAGGGAGAAAAGTTCCTACCCTGAGGAGAGCCAGGGACATCCCATCCTATCTCACCACTGTCCATCAGCCCCTCTAGGGCCTCATCCAGCTCCCAGGAACCCCAGTGAAAGGCTGATCATTGGCACAAGACCTGTCTGGAGCTGCAGATGCCCAAGGGACATGGCCAGGTAGGGACAGCAAAGAGTGGCCATGGAAGCAGGACCTGCCCTGGGGGCTGGGGCAAAGTCCTTCATGGTGCTGGTGGTCCCTGGGGAGCTCAGCCTTGGGACAGAGCATGCTGATGCATAGGGAACCAAAGGAGAAGGGGATGACCCCACCCTGCCCAAACACTCCTTAGCATCCCCTCCCCTGGTGGATCCTGTTTGGGCAGAACAGACACACCCCTTCCCCCTGCCCAATCAGGGCAGATGCCAGGGGACCCTGCCTGCCCAAAAGGACATGGCTGGCAGCTCTCAGGGGCTAAACCAAGACAAAAAAATCTGGATTCCTCCTCCACATCCTGCTGAAGCATGGTCTGCAGCACCTACCATCCTCAGGGAGTGCCTGGTGGGTGCTGGGCATCTGTGTCATGGTGAAGAGGGTGTCAGATATGTCTGAGAGGAAGGTGTCCAAATCGAAATGCTGCCTGCTCCCATGCTCCTCCTCCTCATCTCCAAGCAGCATGGGCACCACATTGCAGAAGAGCTGGTTGCACCATTTCTCTGTTGGCCTCCAGACATCCTCGTCCTACATGAGGTAGAGCAAAGGAGCCGAGTGGACCTTTCATGGGTAGGGTCCATGTCTGGCTGTCTGGCTGCCCACCCAGCAGCCCCCATGCTCCCTGCAGTGTTTGTTCCCTCCAAACCTTAAGGCCTGGCACATTGCTACTTCCAGAGGGTGAATCCAGCATCCCAGGTGCTTAGCATCCCATTCCAATGGGTTTATCATGCCCTGGGGCTTTTCTTTGCCTTTCTACCCAGTGCAGGAGTCCAAACTGCGTTCCCCTTTCTCCCTCTTCCCACCCTTTCTCAGCAGACTCACCCGCTTTGGACTGGAGATCCCTCCCTCCCGTGTGGATTTTCGGAGCTGGAAGGAGAAGACAGCCTAGGTCACCCCCCAGGCAGGGAGAGCTCAGGGGGCCAGCCAGCAACACCCTGCCATGCTGGCAAAGTCATGTCCTGCCCTGTCAGCCATGGCTCCAAGTTGGTTCCATCCCACTGCTGGTACTGCCACAGGATGGGGAGCAGCACAGGCAGAGCCACTCACCCGTTTCTTATAGTAGATCCTCCACTTGTGGTACTCCCTCATCACCACCTCAATGCGGCGTTTCCAGTAGTTGCCCTCCAGCACGACAGCCTGGGGGACAGGACAGGGGGTCATGGCTGAGCTCTCTGGCCCCAGCACCCAACAGCCAGGCCTGCCTTCCTTGTGCCTTGTCAGAAACACCTTTTTCAGCAAATCTATGAAATGCAACGTGTTCCCAGATCCCCACTGTGTCACACAGACCTTGGTGCTGCCCCAAAGAGCTGCAAGGGACCCTGTCCTACCTCTGGTTTTCGGTGCTCATCAGCCTCCATGCCTTCCAGAGGGGTGATGAAGCCACACATGGGGTTTTTCCTCCGCTCCACATCTGCACAGGGGAGAATACAGTTGGCTATCCCTATCTCTGCACTCCTCCACAGTCATTACAGCGCCAGCCCCATCCCACTGGCACAGCCTGGCATCTGGCAGACATAGTGGGGCCTGGTGCCCATACTCACATTGTATGTACCATGCTCTCCAGATCACATTGTTGAGTCGAATCTTATCCCAGCAAAGCAGCCGTAGCCCCTTGAAATTCTTCCACTTCGGAGATACTAGCTTCCCACTGAAACACCAAGCAAAGGGGAGGCTGAGGGGCACCACCTTGAAAGATGTCCAGGGGCCACCAGCCTGGTGGTAGGTCAGGAACAGGTACAGCCACATGACTCTGCTGGAGGTGCTTGCCAGGCACCTGTGGGAGTACCCAGTGGAGCATTCCAAGTTCCTGCACACCCTGTGAACAGCACAGACCTAAACCCTGAGCTTCACAGACCCACAGAAGGCTTCTCAAACCCCTGGATTAAAGCACAGCCCATTGAAGCATTGATTACTTGATGTTTGAACCCCAGCTTTGAGGTGGGATCCTGCTGCCCCTGACTACACCAACTGTGTACTGGCCCTGGGGGACAGGAAGGTAAGTCTCTGGCCCAGATGACATCCATGGTGACATGTACTGTAGTGGCTCTTGCCTCATCACAGTGTTTGGGCAGCTAATTCTGACCCTTCCTTTAGCACCAGGCAAGGCTTGGAAATGCTGCCTTCAGCTGGAGCAGTCAAGGGCAGCCCTTGTGGAGGGTCTGGGAAGGCAGGACAACACTGGAGGATGTTCAGGATGTTAAGGGACACTTGCCTGTGCTCCAAGACAGACACAGAATGACACCAGCCCTGGTCTATTCTCCACACCGATCCCTCCAAACCTGCCCCCCCAGCCTGAGCTGAGCTCCCTGCTTCCCATTTCCTGGTTCTGAGGCAGCTGTGCTTGTTCTGCAGCTCATCGTAGTGGTGGTGGTGATGTCCCCGATGGGACCTGCAGTGCAGGAAGCCTCATTTCCTCCTCGTCCTCATCTTGTTTCCATCCAGCTGAGGAACACAACCCCTCATGTGCAGCCACTGAGGAAGTCCTGAGGGTCCTGCTGCCCCAGGAGCTCTGAGGGGGAAGCCAGGGTCCCTCTGCCTTACTTTGGAGTCCATTTCACATCTCCAACTCTCCCAGCAACATGGTGTGGCTTCAGGACAATGCCAGGTGCTCCAGGGGTCCCTTTGAGAGCTGGCTGCAGGCTGCATGGCATTCCTGCCTGGGAAACCATGTCCATGTTCAGTAGAGAGTTTGTACCTTAAATATCTTGGTGCTGCTTTAACTCCTACTTTTCCTTGGCACATGCATGGAGCAGGAAAGGTGGAAGCGGAGCTGGTGTCAGGGTGCTGCTGTATCCCGTGTTCCCAGCCTCTCCAGGTGCCATCTGGCATGCCCCCAGGGAGGTGCATGAAGGCTCTGACTTGTTCATTAAAGCTTGTGAAACCTCTAAGTGCTCTCAAATAATGATTTTGGTGGGTTCTGTTTTGACCTGCTTTGTAATCCGCCTCTGGCAGAGGAGGAAGACTGGACACCCCTGCAATTCTGAGCCTGATGCAGGGATGTGTCTAGGAGCAGGTGCAGGAGTGGATGGGGATGGTCTCCCAAGGGAGACCCAGCCTGACACATGGCCCCCAGGGCTGGGGAAGGACCTGTGACTCCAGCCTGCAGAGAGTTAAGGCTGACACTGACCACTCTGCTATCATCAGGATTTTGAACTTTCCCCAAGCGCACATGGCAAACAGCAAGATGGTGCCAAGTGGAGGAGCCAATGGAAGAGACAGGATTCCTGGGCACATGGCCAGATCTTACTGGTCAAGGCCATGTTCCTCACTCACAGCCAGCTAAAAAGAGCAGCCTGAGCCTGTGGGACACACCTTGGCCTCGTGCAAGGCCAGTGGGCCATGGCTAGGAGTTGCTGTGGGACCTGGAGGCAGTGGAAGCCTTTGAGCTTTACTACCAAATGCCTTGTCTCCCCCTTAATGATCCTTTCTGTTTTGGGGCTTAACAGGCTGATCTTTGCTCCCTGCTATTCCTTGAAAAGGGCCCCACCCTTCACTGCAATTATCTCCCCAGGGGAGACGGACACAAACTTCACATTGAACCGTGGGAAGGTTATAGGGTGCCCCAAACAGGTTGGGGGTCCTGCTGCCCTACACTGTCAAAAGGAGGGGGACACAGATCCAGCCATAGGCTACAGCCTGTTTGGGGTTCAGGGTGAGGTGGGCTGGCACCCACCAGTGGCAGGTACCACCTCTGGCAACAGGGCTCAGCCTGGGTCCAATGCTGGCATGGGGCCAGCAGTACCTTGTTTGGTCTGTGACTCATTTACCTATCCAGCAGTTTCAGGTGTTGCAGTCCCTGATTTCATGGCAACACGGGTACTTTCCTCTTCATCAACAGCAAGAGGAGCTGCTGTATGAAAAGAGGAGTGATCTGGAGAGATGGAGGGCTGCACCAGCACAGCAGCCCAGCCCCTATGTATGATCCTTGAACAGGATCAGGCTCAAAACCTTGGGGAATGACCAAAGAAAGAAGTGCAACTCCCTGCCACAAATGACAGCAGAACCACAGTGCAGCGTGGGTGGGTTTAGCCCAAGCACGAGCCTTTCCCACTCATCAGAACCTCTAGAATGGAGGTCATCTGCAAGAAAAAATAAGGTTGAATTATGAACTCCACTGAGTGCATCCCTGGAATCTCTGCCTGGTGTTCACTACCCCTGTGTGAGCATTTAGGGCACTGTGAATTAGAGAATCAATAGCAGCAGTTCCACTTCTCCCAGGGGAGACACAGGCTAACAAGAGGATGAATTAGTAGGGAATTGTCACACAGTTTTAAATCACAAGAGAGGCTGAGTGTATACTCCAAGTCACTTCCCAGTCTGATGTCCCTGCTTGTCAGGTCTCCTCTCCGGAGCACAAGACAAATGTTGGCAGGTAAGACCACAAATTACTGCAGTTCACATCTCCCAGTCTGCCCCCAGTTTTCCTTCCTTCAGGAGGATGTTCCCCAGATCAGTGATTCCCAACATTAAGTCACAGGAGGGGGAGTGAGGCCAGCCATGGCACTGTGCAGGTCACACTGTGGTGATGGAGAGGATGAGCCTTCTCATGCTAAGGCCAAAATGTCAGCAGCTCCTGAGGGAGCTCAGCTCCACCCTCAGCTTTTTGGATAATGAGATGCAGCCAGGTGAGCTGCAGGGGGAAACAACATGCAAGGAATGCAGGAAGGATGCAAGGAATGCAGGATGTTCCAGGAGAAGGAGTGAAAAAGGATCATTAAGCAGGAAGCTGCTCTAAATGTCCTGGGATATAGGTAAAAAGGAACTGCTTTATCCTAGCCTTAGGAGGAAGACTTCAGAGAGGGGAGTTGCTTCTATTTGGGGAATCTGAGGAAACAAATTACTGATGGAAGAAAACTTTGATGTGGAGAGAGCATTTCTTTACCAGTGAGGGGTGAGGTACAGTCCTGCCCATGGAAGGAAGATAAGTCATATCCCCAGAATGATTGCTTAGACTGAGACAGGACTGCTATAATGTCTGTGAAAAGCAGAGGAGGAATGCTGGAGAGGGGAAGAATTCCAGCGGTAACCATTGAAAAATATTTAGGGAAAGTTTAGTGAGTTACCTTTGAAATGGTGTGAGCCCAGACAGCAATGGATGCAGCAGGCACAGCTCACCAGGAGACAGGATGGTTTTCCCCTCTGCTCCACACTGCTATGGCCAAGCCTGGACATTGTGTCCAGTGGACAGAGAGGGAGGTATACAAACTGGAGTGATCCTGGAGGAGACTATCAAGGTGGCTGGGGACTAACATATATGACAGAAGAGGACTGTGAGGGATGGGTTTGTTCAGCCTGCAGAAGGTGAAGAGAGAATTACTGCCATCAGCTGCCCTAAGGAGGAGATGGAGCCAGACAGTTCTCAATCATACACTGAGAAAGGCCAAGGGGAAACAGACCTAAGAATTGGAACAGGGAAACTCCAAACTACAGCCACAGACAGCAATTCCCTAGGGGAGAGGAGCAGCCCTGAGCAGGCTGGACAGATGGTGAGGTCACATCCTAGGGCTCCATCTGTCAAAGTAATGGCTCTGAGCAACCTGACTTGGCTTTGGATCTAGCCCTGCCCTGCATGAGAGTTGCATGATGAAATCCACAGGTGCCTCCCAGGTGACAGCTTACAGTGGTTTCTCCTTGGTTAGGAATTTAGTCTGAGCTTAACTGTGGGTGCTCTCCTGAGGGCTGGAGGATACTGGGCTGGTGACCCCAACTGAGGCTGTTCTGCCTCTGGGAACCTGGATGGGAGGGGAAGTGTGAAATGACAGGTGATGCAGACCAGTATCAAATCAGACAACACTAAATGTAGAAATGCACCAAGAACACTTAACTCCATTATTCCACCCTGATACCTTTCTCTAGCTGCTGCCTACAAGAGTGTAAAAAAATTATTAGCAAAAGAAAAGCTAAGAGAGCTGGGGTTGTCCAGCCTGGACAACCTTAGAGACCTTAGAACCCCTCCCAGTGCTTAAAGAGGATCCAAGAGAGCTGGAGAGGGATTTTGGTCAAGGGCCTGGAGTGACAGGAAAAGGGGGGATGATTTCACAATGTCAGAGGACAGGACTAGATGGGATATTGGGAAGAAATTCTTCCCTATGAGGGTGGTGAGATCCCAGCACAGGCTGCCCCATCCCTGGAATTGTCCAAGGCCAGGCTGGACAAGGCTTGGGTGAGCATCCCATTACATAGGAGCCAGTATCTGCACTGCCATGCTCAGTGCAGGAAGGAAATGAGCCACTGAGATTCCAGGTAGTGGGGAAAACTGGAGCAATAGAACCCTGACTGCAGTGGAATGGCCAGCCCCCAGTTACACACAGTACTCCAGTTGTCAAAGCCCTTGTACCCTGTCTGTTTCCACTCTGCCTGGGAGCTCCTGAGCCCAGGGGCACACTGAAGCTTCCTTGCACCTCATGAGTCTACAGTTTGAGCACCCTGGTGTGACAGTGTCTGTTTCTCCAGCCTCAAATCTGCAGGGCTCAGTATGGAAAGAATGGGGCTGGGAGAAGAAAAGGCAGCGAGGCCACCAGTGTTTCTATGACCCTTGTTTGTGGCACTCAGGAGTGACCTGCCCAGCCAGGAAGCATGATCCTTACCTGGGTTACCCCATGCTGAGGCTCCCTGTGATCCCAGAGAGCACTGCTATGCTGTGCTGGCTGCTGGCAAACTGGGATGATTCCATCCATCTCTTGGGATATGATCAAGGGTCAGATGTACACAGCCATGCGGGAACTGGTACCCTCTGTGCCAAGGATGCCCTGGCAGTGACCACATTCCCTATTGCATTGAGCACTTGAGGACTCCAAGGCAAACCAGAGAGCTCAGTCACTGGATGAGATCCTGGATGAGGTAATGGGCACCTCTTCAAGGCTGCTTTGCTGAGGTTTTGCTTTCACGTGGTAGAACATCATCATCTAGGTTTTCACATTTGGACATCTTGGGAGAGCTATACAAGTGGTGTGGCACTGACTCCATGCTGATGCCGTGCTGGAGAGAACTCAAAACCTCGGGGCTTGGCAAAGGAGGGGAGCTGCCTCCAAAAATGTGGACTGTGGCCATAAGAGACACACTGCACTCTGTCCTGCTGTCACCAAAGAGCTGCCACTGGGCTTTGGCAATTTGTACAGCAGGGGAACAATGCAGGCACCCATCTGATTTTGCAGGAGAGAAGGAGGAAAGCTTTCAGGAGACCTTGGATAAAAGCCATGCAGCCATCCAGTCCCAAGTGCTACTGCATATCATGGAATAACCTCAGGACATGGGGATAGAGCCAAGGACAGAAGGCAGGACTGCTCTGGGCTGGACTGCCAAACAACTGAGTGTTAGCTGTCCACAGAGTCACTGCTGCTCTACAGAGTGTGCTAGGTCTGGCCATGGAGGAAATACAGCTGGACACAGTGACGCCTGATCTCATGCAAAAATGGAGAAAAGTCAAGATACATGTGGAACAGAGAAGCTTCTCACTTGGCTCTGCAGCCAACAACCCAGCATCAGCTCTCTCTCCCTGAAACTTTCCAGGATGGCAATTTCTGAGCATATGACACATCACAGCCCATGAAAAAGAGGAGGAGGAGGTCAGATGGAAAAAAATTCCTGGCTGGGGAACGGGGGGGCTCAGCTAGCCTCCTGCCTTCAGCCAGCTGGGGGTCTGTAAGACACACACAAGGGCTCTAGGACTCACCTGTACTCCAGGCTCATGCACTCAAAGAGCCGGGTGAGGGTTGGGTCAATACTCCGGGGATCAGCCAGCTCGGGCTCGGCACGGTGGTGCCGCCGCCGGGGTAGCGAGTCGCTGTGCGGGCACGACACCATGAAGTGGCCACTGTGGATGACCTGGGAGTAGTTCTGTGCTGCAGCACTGGGTCCTGTGCCACCCACAGCCGTGTCCTCTGAGTCTGAGTCAGAGTCAGAGTCGGAGACGGGGCAAGGCCCAACCGGAGGCTCCAGGAATGGTCCCGGTAGTCCCACCTGAGTTCCTGCCATTCCTGCTGCCTACTGGGGAACCCTGATGGATCTGACCCGGCACTGTGATCCGTGTCCCCGTTGAGCTGAAGCCCTACAGACACTCCATTGGCATCGAGCACATGCTGAGCTCCCCAGTACAGAACACTGGCACCACGCCTCCTGCTAGGCACCTCCTCCAGCCGGCCCACAGCACCATCTGTTCCTTGCTCCAGGGTTCAGCGGTTGGTTCCCCAGGGCTGATGCACTGCCAGCCCTATTTATGGCGCTGCTGGCTGATCCCGCCCATGGCAGGCCTTCAGCAGGACACATCTGGTGGCCACCAAGCACCAGAGCTTCAGCTCCATGCCACTGTCCTGCTCCAGCAGTGTCCTAACAATCCCAGCTTTTACATCCCCCACACACCTGGGGCGGGGCACTGCAGGTCCCCTGTCCCCCCGTTGCTGTGGCCAAGGGTTGGCTGGCGGTCGGCTCTGTTTACCTGGAGTTAATCACTGATCCTGGGTGCTGGTGGAGTGAGGAGCAGGCGGTATTTACCCAGTGCCTTGCTTTAATGGATCTCCCTGCACTTTCAAGGGAACAAATACAGATTAAGGGACACAAACAGGTAAAATTATAGCAACGGGCACTCTGTTCAGCACAAGGCAAGCCAAGGCACTGAGCCAAGTGCCGAGCTGAGAAACAGCCCCAGGAAAGCCTGCTCCAAGCGGAGATCCAGCAGGAGAGGAGATACAAACAACAAATGTGAGAGAGAACAGATACGAGTTTGGGTATGGTGGGATTTACACATCTTGTTGTCATGTAAAAATCAAAGACTCATCAAATCCTAGAATGATTTGTGTTGGAAGGGACCTTAAAACTCAACTCATTCCACTACCCTTCCACTAGACTAGGGACACCTTCCACAAGAACAAGTTGCTCAAAGACCTGTCAACCTAGCCCAGAGTACTTCCAGGGATGAGGCAGCCACAGCTTTTCTGGGCAACTTGTGCTCAGACTTCACCACCCTCACAGGAAATAATTTTTTCCTAATATCCACTCTAAATCCACCCTGGATTGCCTTCACCTCTGAGGTTTCTAGTTTCTGGCAAATTCTTTCCCAGCCCCACATCCTGGAAGGAGCACACATGCCTGGAAAGCACCCAGGCAGAGATCTTAGGTACCTCCAGTGGAAATACAATATAAATGGGTGGGATAAACTCAGAATAGACAGCTGCAGGCATCCAGTTTGTAGATGGAGCTGAATACTTTCCATACCACCCAGGTAAGTCCAAGAAGGGTCAGCAGCTATCCAGGGTATTTTCCAGAGCTAGAAGAAGAATAAACACAAAAAGCTGGTTTGGACAGCTTCTACACTGGTTGGTGCAACCCTCCCTTTCAGACCATTTCTTCACTTGAGAACCATGTCTTCATTTTCCAGCCAGATTTCTGTGGGTCTGTAGCTTTTTTTCCCCTCTGTGATCCATTACAAACACTTCAGCATGTCCCAAGCTGCCTGTCATGATGTTGAATAGAGAAGTAATTTTAAAAGTACCATCTGTATACATTTTAAAGCAGTAATGGGCATGTGAATGTCCTGGGAAACTAAGAATTAGGCAAGGCACAAAGAAACAAACATGTCAGAGATACAGAGGCTTTCTGGGCACATTCCACTCATGTTGTGCAAAAGGCACTTCCCAGAATTTTGACCAAAAACATTTGCCATCTGTTCACCAGTCCCAGGCAGACTTCAGTCCTCTGGGATAACATCTATTTGAGGGAAACAGAGAAGCACATCAAGTGAGGCCTTTATGAACATCACAAATCCTTCATTGCTGGTCCAGCAGCTCTTGTGCTGCAGAGGAGGGAAATCCCATGAGGTGACAGAACCTTAGTCAACCAGGGAGCAGAGCAGGAGTCTGACACAGGGGCAGGTAGGCTGCAGAGATGAGGAATTTTGTAAAAGGCTGTTTGGATCCTAAAATGTTTGATGCCATTGGAAATGAGAATCAATGTTGATAAGGGTATAGTGAAGCATATCCTTCACTGTACACTGGGGGACTCTAGATTAATGCCAGTCAAGAGCTGAAGGTAACTGCAAGCAGTTCCCTGAAAACATCAGCTGAAAGTTCATGAGTAATTAAAAAGTAAAAAAGGCTCCAGATATTGCAAGGAAAATATTGCTTGCCCCCATATAAAGCAAGCTCACAAGTGTGTGTGGCTTTGGTGCCTGGCTGAGAAAATTTGGAGAAACACCGGAAAAGGTCACAAAGATGAAGAAAATGGGTGGTCAGAAGTGTGAATGGCATCCTTGCAAGAAAAAGGATCAGGACTGTTAGGAAAGATGTGAATCAGGTAAAAGGCACTGACAGTGTAGACATGGGTATAGGAGGAACAGGGAATGATTATAGGTGATTATTCATCACTTTTCAGAGCTGGAGCTTGGAATGGATGATCTCCAGAGGTCCCTTTGAACTCTGACTATTCTGTGATTCTGTGTTTCTGAGGGCACCAGGCAAAGGAAGTGCTGGCATGTTCATCTCAGGATTTTGTGAAACTAAAAGTCCAATCAGACTTAATAAGGAATTGGATAAACTGATGGAGGACTGTAACCATTAAAATTCTTTCTGTGTCCAAAGCAAAGCTGACTGATGGGAACTCAGAGCTTGGAGAAACCTGGTCTAGTGGAAGGTGTCCCTGCCCATGGCAGAGGGATGGAACCAGATGAGCTTTAAGATCCCAAATAATTCTGTAAGTCCATGATTCAATATCTATGCAATGAGGTTCTTGATGCTTTTTTCCTTGGATGGTCTTGCTCACATTCCCTCTGTGAACAGCTGGTGCTGACAGGAGCTTAACACTCCATGCAGTAGCAGGACAGAGTAAGGAACATAGAAAAGAGAACTGCAGCCTTCAGCCTGCAGCTAGACTCCTCATAGAATATTTCTGGGCTCTCCTTGTCTGCCAGACATCCTTCCCACAGGAAGCTGCCTGGCAAAACCTGGGCAAGAGCACCCTCTGGGGACCAGCAGAAATGTAATGGTGATATTGCACTTCTCAAATCCCTTCTTTTCACACTGACATTGCATTTTAAGTGGGTTTCATGATGGTGATGCATGCCAGGTTGTTTGCCCAGAAAGCAGAGTCTGCTGGAGAGGGTGGGCTCATTAGACTTCATCTCTGTTACTGTGGGACAAGCTGAACCTCCCTGGAGAGAGCAAGAGAAGCCTGAGGCCACACAGCAACCTTGGAGCTTCTACGAAAAGTGAGGTATCACTTCAAAAAATCGTGGAATTGTTTGGGTTGCAAGGGATCTTAAACATATTTCATTCCAGCCCTACTGCCATGGCCAGGAAACACCTTCCACTACACCAGGTTGCTCCAAGCCCAGTTCAACCTGGCCTGGAATACTTCCAGGGATGGGGCAGCTTCTCTGGGCACCCTGTGCCAGGGCCTCACTATGCTCACAGGAAAGAACTTCTTCTCAATATCCCATCTAACTCTGCCCTCTGGCAGTGGGAAGCCATTCCCCCTTGTCCTGTTACTCCAGGGGCTTGTTCAAAGTTTCTCTTCATCTCTCCTGGCGACTCTTTTGTTGGAATCTGTGGTATTGATGATTCCAAGATTGTAGAAAGTCTCTGTCAGCCCTGTTGCCAAAGAAGTCATAATTTGTCTGTGCTGGTTTCCAGGTTGTTTATTCTGTTTATCTCTATCATGTTCTGCTGCCCTGCCCAGCTCTGTCCTGCAGGGCAGCATGTGGGGCTCTGCCCTCAGAGGGATGTTACAAACATTAAATACCAGAAACTCCCTGGGCTGGATTTACAATAACGTGCCAATATCTGTCACCTACGTTGGACAGTGTGTCCCCAGCCTGAACCAACAGAAAAATGCCAACACCACAGTGACACATGGAGGGCATGAAGAAGGAGAAAAAGGACAAGACACACCCAATTTCCTCCATCTTGTCCCCTTTGAACCCCTAATCTAGAATCCTAAAATTTTACTTTTGCACCCATGCCACACTTAATTATTACTTATATCAAACACTCAGAGCTGGTAATTCATCCTGTAAGATTGAAAACTCTTTTCCATGGACAGAGATCACAGACAGTGTCTCTGGGGGCTCTGTCCAGGGGGGTTCCTGACCCCTGCCAGGGTCGCAGACCTGCCAGGGCAGCCAGAGGGAAGCTCTGGACTTCCACATCTTTAAGCACTGGAAGAGGATCAAAGGTCTCTTTCCCAGGCTGGACACCCTCAGCTCTCCCAACCTGTCTCCAGAGTAGAGAGGCTCCAGCCCTTGGAGCATCTCAGTGACCACCTCTGGACTTGCTTCAGCAGCTTCATATCTTTCCTGTGCTGGGACCCCAGAGCTGGAGGCAGCTCTGCAGGTGGGTGCCTGCTTTTGAGTCAGGGATGGGATGAAAAGACGCCATGGTGTTCAGAAGGCTTAAAGAAGAATAATCTTTATTAGCAGGAAGTAATGTTCCTTTGATAACCAGGATTGCTAAGGTGAAATATGATTGGTCTCAAAGTGAAAACTTTTCACACCATTGGTGCACTATGAATAGCACACTGTGATAGAACATATCTATAAACAGCATGAACAGAAAGAGAGATAATTGCTTTCATTCCTTCTCATAACTTTCCCAGGCTAGGCCTGGGAGAATTCTCTCTTTTCTCTCTGATTGAACTGAGAACATCTACAGCTGGGGTCTCACAAGGACAGATGGGGACAATCTCCCACCTGACAAATGTCCCACTGGTTAAAGATAATAAGCAGACATGGTGCAAAAGAGATTTTTCTGCATCTTGCTAAAGAGACTCACCATGAGGATGGAATATACAATGGAATTGTCTTTCCTGTCATGGAAGGGAATGTGATGCTCGGAGCCCAACACAGGAGGGTGGTGCTGCCCCTGAGCTGCCTCTCACCCTACCTGGATGCATAGTGGGTGCCCAGCCTGGGGGGAGGCATTAGCAGAGGGTCCTTTTAATCATACATCTCCATGTGTATCTCAAGGCAAGTGAGTTAGCCAAGAAAAAAAAACAAAAAATATTTCTAAATGCAACACAAAATTCCCAAGTTTGGCAGCCAAGAACACTTTATGTAAGTTATTGTCTCCTACACTGGGTTTAGTCTCCATTCTGAGCTGGCAGATGCCTACTCCCACCTGTCACACACCTCATGACTCACTGAAGAGGAGCAGGAGGCAGTGGGAGGCAGGGAGAGAAATCCCAGGTTTCAAGGCAGACATGCAGTAAAACAACAGTGTAAAAAAATCACACACAAGCCTGACAAAGTAATAGAAGATTTGTTATGGATGATTTTTATTTTCTAGCTCATGTCTCTATATTGATTAGGAAACAGCTCT